AAAACATTTTGTGGGGGTGAGCTTTAGTGTTAGCCTAGAATTCTTGAATACTTTAGGAATTCAGACATAGACTAGCATTGCCTAAAGTTTGTTTTCTTTAATATGTTTGCTACAACTTGTGTAAGGGAACTCGATTATTTACAAATTAGCAAATGGGTCTTTGGGAAGATGGTTTGTTTGTTTTTCTCTCATTGAGTTTATTGGTACATTTTATACAGTATAAAGGTATACAGTACAGTTACATTCATCATTGGGCTCTTGTACCTTTACATGACAGGTCTTGGTTCTCATTTTGGAAAGATGGTTTGTTTATGCTGACCATATCATTTAGGGCAGTGAAAACAATTACAGTGCCTTGAAACTTTGCACACATTTCTCTCTCTTAAGGGTAAAGCAAAGTAAATAAAATAAAACTTGCACTGAAAAAGGATTGAAAGAAATTTAGCCAATGAGAATTTTGCAGCTTGCAATATAAGGACTCAGACAATGCTGAAAGAATATTTATATACTGCTGATTAATGTGATGTGCATTATAAAAATCTGAAAACTGCTGGATGTAATTCCTTTTATCTTTAAATAATTTTAAAATTTTGGAGTAAGTTTAGGTTTACATAGGTAGTACTGGTTTACAGAGATAGTGCAGCATTCCTGTAAACCTTTCACCATGTTTTCCCTGATGATGTTAATTTCTTACGCAACTATTGTTCGTTTGTCAAAACTAAGAAATTAACGTTGCTCAGTACTATTAACTGAACTCCAAACTTTATCAGATTTCACCACTCTTTTATTAATACTCTTTTTCAGTTCCAACATTAACCTCCATCACTTGATTTAGTGGGTGTCTCCACTGTAAAGTTACTGTTTTCCACTTCTCGTACTCCGTGGAAGTCAGTCAGTAAGCAGAGGAAAGACAAAATTCCATCTCTCGGAGTGGGAATTATTTACATTTATTAATTTCTTTATTTTGTTATAAATGAATGATTACAGTGAAAATGTAGGTCTTTGCTGTTTTTAATACATCCTCTTCCTTCCAGTAGAACTAGAAAACTGTTTGGAAGACAATCCTTGATCTGTTATACTTTCTCATACTAATCAGTAATGCTCTTGAAATTTACTTCACTAGTAATAAATCTTCTAGAGTAGAATAAGGAACCAGAATGCTGAATTGTAGAGACCTTAAACATTCAAGTTTTGTTTTTTGTGTCACCAGCATCTAGCCCAGAACCTGGTAAACTGAGGTCATTAAATACAGCTGCATTACATGCCGGGGTGAGAAGAATAAAAGCATGAAAGCTTTTCCTCTACAGGTGTTTCTCTACAGTTCTTTCTCTGTGGAACAAGGGAAAGGGAACAGACATTCATTTGGTGCTTATTTTATTTTCTGTTGCTAACAATCCTGTGAGTTACCTGTTGTGTATCTGTCTTCAGTGATAAGTAAACTAACACTTAGAGCCAATAAATGAGTGAATAATTTCTGGAAAGATTAAAATCAAAATAGAAGAACATTTGAACCCAGCTCTCTGATTTCCCAGTTCATTTTCCTTTTATCTACCTGTTGCCTCCCCTGTATGGGTTCTCTTCTTATGTATGTTTCCCTGCCTTTCTTCTCCTCTCCTCTCCCTTCTTTCCTCAACCCCTCTCCCCTCTATTCTCCCTATCTTTCTGTCTCTCTTCTCTCCCTTTTTTGTTTGTTTGTTTTTGTTTTTGTTTTTTTTGAGACAGGGTCTCACTGTGTAGTTCAGGTTGCCTTGAACTCACTACATAGCCCAGGCAGGCCTTGAACTCGTGGTGATCCTCATGCCCCAACTTCCAGAGTGCTGGGATTACAGAGGTGCACCACCACATCTGGAATTTCTTCTACTTCTTAAAGTAAAATATTTTTAAAATGTAGAATTAAGAAAATGGCTGTTAAATATTGTTGGTGAAAAATGTAAATTGACATAGTATTTTGGGTAAAATCTTATAAGTATATACATGCATGTAAGGATTTTTTGGGGAAAAACAAAAATAAAGACAACACCAAGCTTATCAGTCGGTGAATGACCAGATGTGCTCCATCCTTGATATAGAATATTATGCCACCATTGTAGGTCCTAAACTGTGTGATTAAGTGAGAAATTATAAATGTGAGTATATAGCTTTAGATAAGTATATTCATATATATGTTTAAATGATTATAAAAACATGGAGTTTTAACATTGTTTATGTCAGGAAGAGGCAAGAAGGGAAAATGACTGTATGATAATTATGTGCCATGCATGTGAATGTGTCTGTGCGTGTGTTTGCAGTAAAGGATGTAGGAAAATAGTTACCAAGTAGAAATATAGTCGCATTAATCCCTTCTCTCGTCATCTCACTTAATCAGTCTCAAAGTTCCAGTGATTTTCAAGCATTTCTCAGTGTTTTCCCTACTTTTTATCTCTTCTATACCTTAGTCGTCATTTTTGCTTTGACTCCTGAAAGACTGTATAATGTGTCTTCCTGTCTGAGTTTTGACTGTCACAAACCCACCTTCCATTTACATGGGTCTGCCCCAGATATCTGACACGTAAACCCTCTACTTGGACCTCTTCATCAATGCCCTCTCACCTGCACTACAAAATCCAAACCCCGATGTGCAGAGTCAGGGCTTGACCATTTCCATCACTCCTTACCTCCCAGTGACTCTGGCAGCTGCTTAGACAGGGAGATTTCCTCTTTTTTTGTTGCCATTGGTTTTTCTGTGGTACTGAGGATTGAACTCAGGGCCTTCCCACTGTGCTACATCCCCAGCCATCTTTTTCTGTTTTTCTTTTGAGACAGGATCTCACTAAGTTGGTGAGTTGCACAGTCTGGTCGTGAATTTGAAACCCTTTTGCCTCCTCCCCCAGGAGCGCAGGGATTATAAGCCTATACCACCATGCTTGCTTGGCTATCCTTTGCTTATCTGTTACTTTCGTTTGGAGTTCTCTTTTTTTTTCAACCCCACCCTTACTTGTTTGAAAACTCAGTTCTGTGATCTGTACCATAAAATCTCCCCCAGGCTCACTCTCAAGCTCCCACTAAGCTAAGTTAGGGTACTCCTGTGTACCTCAGTTGTGTACTTAGCATGTGTATTGACTGTATTCTTGCTCAGTTTTGCCCAAGAAAAGGCAGAAACTGATTTTTTCAGCATTTAATTTGGAACTTACCATTAATGTCTAGTGCTTTTTATTTGTTCCACAATTAAATACTGGCCCTCCTACCCCCTACCTGTTTGGATCTTTGAATAACAAACAAAAAACAGTATCACATTCAGATTTTAGAGATTACAGTGAACCCTTTTTATGTTTAACAAGTGGGAAAAAAAAATACTTCTTTGGGGGTCATGCACTTACATACAAGAAGAGAAAAATAAGATTAAAAAGCCAATACATTTTATTCATTGTTTAAATTTATCTATGTTTTGATAATTTATTGAGGTATAATCACAGTATTTACACTCTGCCAGTTAATATTTAAATGTTTATGATGGACATGGTTCTTTAGGCTCTTCAGAGAAGTACAGCAGTTATTAAATACTGACTTCTATGAGTGCAGACAGATGTGGTGGAACAGTTGATGTGTGGTTGGTCGTGCTGAACACCTACAGTGATGCCACACACAGAGACGCAATGAGGACCAAAGAAGCATTGGTTTTGGTATTGGACCTAATTATGTCTTTTTAAAAAAGTAACTCATATCTATTTGAAAATGCTTATATTAATAAACAGATACATACCAGGCTAGTAATTACAGAGTGGAGTATAGACTAGGACATTTGAGGGGTTAATTTTCAAAGATTTTTAAAAATAGGCAGTCAGCCAAGGTGGCATAGGCCTATAATCTTAGTGCCCAGGAGGCTGAGGCAGGTGGATTGCTATTAATTCAAGGCCAACCTGGGCTACATTGTGAGTTTAAGGCTAGCCTAAACTACATAGAGAGTGAGACCTTGTCTCAAAAGAATAATATTTTTAAAAAGTCATTTGATAAAATTTTAAGTTAAGAGAACCAGAGTTGCTAATAAACTTTATACAAAACAGAAAAGTCTTCTACCTAATTGAATGATTAGAACACAAATTATACCCTTTCACCCAGGATATTATAGCTGATGAGTACTTTTGTTTTTTTAATACGATTTCAATAATTTTAAAAGCAATAATTTTGTGTTTTTCAATGACCTACTTCCTTGTTAAAAGTTTTTTTAAATAATCACATGATGAATTATGTAATATGTACTTTTCTTCCTACAATTACTCATAAAAAGGAGTTTTGTAAAAATTATAGGTTGTAGAAGTAATTGTTATTAGCTATGATTATAAACTGGTTTTTTTCAGCAGTGATTTTTAGTTCATGAGATGAATGTTTCTTTTTTGAAACTTTTTATATAAATAGAGTATGAATGCAGGTCAACTTTAGCTTTCATTTCATTTATTTATTATTTTAATTAATTTGGGGGGGCGGTACTGGGGAGCAAACTCAGGACCTTGCATTTGCCAGGTGGGCAGGCACAGTGCCCCTGTGGCTTTCATTTTGACCTGACAGCCATGCTGAGCAATTTTTATGCAAATAAGATGTTTTCATTTACAGTTTCCAAATAGCTTGTTTCTGTGGGTATCATTACATAATCAAGAGCTAATGTAAATTATCATCTATTTAAATTGTCTGTGCTGAATAACCACACAGTGGCTGAATTAATTTTATTTTAAAAGTTCATAGATTATAGAAAAGGTCTCCCCCTACCTCTCTCCCTGTGCCCCCCTCCTCTGGTTTTCTTTTTGTCACTATGCCTTAGTCCCAGCTCCCATTCTTTAAGATTCTATACAAGTACTCTACAGGAAATAATGTTGATGTTCACAATAAACCATAAAGGCCAAGGGAAATTCTGAATAATAAAAGAAGTTGAACGGTCTCCTTACCCCCATTCTCACTCCCTGATGGGAAGATGAAACTGTTGTCTTACATTAAACTGCTATTCAGATCATCTTTTCTCTCTTCCATAGTGATCTAGAACCTGAATGGCTAGATGGTGTACAGAAAAACGGAGAGCTGTTTTATTTGGAACTGAGTGAGGATGAAGAAGAAAGCCGCCTTCCTGTAACACCACCAACTGTGAATCATGTCAGATTCAGTGAAAATGAGACTATCATTGAAGAGGATGATTACAAAGAAAGAAAAAAGTATGAACCCAAACTCAAGAGGTTTACCAAAATTTTAAAAAGCAAAAGACTTTTACCTAAGCGCTACAATAAAAAAAATAGCAATGAAAATGGGCCAGTATCCATTCTAAAACAGTGCAACGAGAAAACTGGGGTCATTGTTCAACAGCGGTACAAGGATGTGAGTGTTTATGTAAACCCCAAAAAGCTAACTGTCACCAAAGCCAAGGAGCAGCTCAAGCTTCTGGAAGTGCTGGTTGGAATTATCCATCAGACCAAGTGGAGCTGGAGAAGAACTGGAAAGCAGGGTGATGGAGAGAGGCTTGTGGTCCATGGCCTTTTGCCAGGAGGATCTGCTATGAAGAGTGGTCAGATACTGATTGGTAAGTGTTGCTGGTGAGCATCAGACCTTGTTTGCAGAGACACGTGATTAATCATGGCACCTTGGGAGAGGATGATGAACAAAACAACTATTTACATAGTCTCCATAAATTAAGGACTGATTAATGAAACTTGGTACAGTAGTGAAATTGTAAATCATGTATCACAAGGCACAGGGTTCTTAAAATAAGCACTTTAGTGTATGGAATACATGTGAGCCTTCTTCAGGTTGCGGACTAGCTTAACTAATTTTCAAGTTTTGAATTATACGAATTTGTTTTGTCTTGGTTATATTTGCTGACAGAAAAAAAAAACGGTTGATTGTACCATGATAATTTAGGCTAGAATGACTATATCCCATAAGATGTTACAATAATATATAATTTATGAGTAAAAATACTTTTAAATTGTATGTTGCACTTCAGTACACTAAGTTCTTGGACTGGTTTTAAACTGTTTCATTTGGCATACTGAGCAACAGTGGTGTCATGCATAAGTTTCCTTTTAAGGATGCTTGTCATAAAAGAGTCCCACCAATTTTGAGGAAAAATTTAACTCTGCAAGTTATTCTGAACGTATGTTAAGATGAGCATTTTGTGTTGCCGATAAATTTGGATATAATATTTGATGCTCACAGACATGATGTTTGAACTCTGATAAGTCTTCAAACTTCTAATAGGAACCTTATTAATTAAAGATAAATTGATTACATTTGAGAATATATTATTAATGAAACACAATTTATAATGGTTCGTATGCTGACAGTTTTTTTAATTGCCTCAGTTAAAGAGATTTAGATAAATACGTTGAGACGTCAGTTTGCAAGTTAATCTCCCACGCTGTTCTTGGCCTAAAAATACCTAAAAGTCTTTTCTTTTGCTACTATAAGGAGAGGGAAGAAGAGAGGAGAAGGAAGGGGTGGGTGCAGAGAGATTGCAATTAAGGGACTTTTATAGGTACTCCAGAAATATTTGTAAATATGTCTGACTTGAAGTCTAAATTTCACTTTTTGCTCATTGATTCAACAAATAAAAAAATGTTTTGATATCTACTAAACACCAGGATTACAGAAATTAGTCTAATAATGGGAATACTCCCGTGGAGGTCTTTTTATAGGAGAGATAGATCACAAATAGCAGACAGTCTCACACAGTGCGATAAATGTCACAATACAGCATCATAAAGAGGAATCTCGTAGAAAGGGGACCTGTACAAAACGTGTATTCCTTAATGGTCACAGCATGACCTCCACATTGTCTTACAGTGTGATGTTGATCCTTCTTCCATAGGGAGCTGTTTATGTCTTCAAATCGGGTGGGCCTGTGACTACAGGTTAAGTGATATTGTGTGACTTAAGTGGGAACAGTTGCTTCTGGTTATTTTGGGGATGCTTGTTCTTGGAACACAGATTCTTTGAGGAGGGCCAAGGCTTCATGGAAAGGCCATGATAAGTGACTGATGGCCTAGCTGAGGCTCCACCCACCAGGGAAGCCTTTCAGAGGGCTCCAGCCCCAATCAACAGCTAGTTGTAACTACATGAAGAGCCTCTACTTACACCCAGAGCCAGGAGAGATAATACATGACTGTTGTCATTTTAAGCCACTGAGTTGTTGCGGTGGTTTATTTAGCAGTGGATAACAAACAGGAGCATACTTGCATTCGTTAGGTATTCACGTTTCTTTCTTGTAAGGTGAAGGAAGTGAACTAAACTATCTCTAAGGTTTCTTCTTTTAGTTCTGTAGAAGGCCAGGATTCCCACTTAGGAGATCCTGCCAGTGGTTTGCTGACCATTAATTTTGGAAACATCAGCTAATGCATTCTCTTTTTTCTTAGCTGGGGCTTCTGCTCTGAAAACCTATTTGGACTGGTTGTAGACAAATCTACAATTCTTCTGACCCCTTTTTTCGTGAGCCTAGTGTGGAAGAAAGAGAATGGACCATAGGGAAGTACAGTTTCTACCAGAATAAAGCTTCGTACTGCTTATCTTTTAAGGATTCTAATTTTCTTTGACCTTTGTTAGCATACCAAACATGAACAAAAGACAAAAAGAGGTCCATCGTTTTCTCTAAATGTTACAATATGGGATCACCTATAAATGTCAAATAATGATCCAAATAGATGTCATTAATTCATTCAACAAACATGGAATGCCTGCTGTGTACCAAACACCATATGAACATATTCCTCCAAGCAGATACATATATGTACATTATCTGTGGCTCATCCTCACAAAAGAAAGCTTATTGGTAAGGAACCAATGTGTAAAATTGGAGAGTCTCAAAAAAGTATCTAGGCAAAAAAGAGATTTGACCTTTATTTCATACCAAAAATAAAAGTCAATTTTTATTAGAGTATATATCTAAATATGAAAAATAAAAGAATCAAATTTCTAGAAGATGATATAGGAGCATATCTTTAGGACTTGATAAAGATTTATTAAATAGCACTAATTACAAGATGTAATGTTGATTAATTGTTGTACATTAAAATTAACTTAGGTTATCAAAAATAGTATTATAAGAGTCAAAATTACTGTCTATAACTGAAAAGGAGCTTTTAGAAAAGAAACTGCAAATAATATTAAAAATATAGACAACCCAGTTAAATAATGGACAAGAAACCCAAACAGGTACTTCACAAAAGAGAATATCCAAATGACAAACATATAAAGCGTTTTCAACTTTTTTATTCATCTGAGAAAGACCCTGCCGGGAATTTAGCTCAGTGGTGCCACCGCCTGCCTCGCAAGCACAAGGTCCAGAGTTTGAGCCCTGGTACCAAGAAAAAAAAAAAGAGAGAGAAGATTGGAGAAATACAAATTAAAACCATGGGATAACACTACCCGTGGTGCTGCTCATAATCCTGAAAGACATGATCCAAAACACCATATTCCCAATGTTGAAATTCTGAAGTCAAAATCCCTTAAGTCTAAAATCAAATATCCTAGTCCCAAGAATTTAAAATTTCAAATACTGAAATCCTAAATGGGGAAATCCATAAAATTATACTTCCCATGGGAAGTGAGGGAAAGGGACTACACAAGAGAAATAAAAAGCCATATTTGAAGGAAAAGATTGGCCATGAAACATGGCAAAAACTAAACTTCATTTATGTGCATTGGTAATCCTTCCAGCTAATTAAATTCTAGATGCTTTTAATGAATTAAAGCTGCATTTACCTGAGGTAGCCAGCAACATTACTGAGTAGTTTGAAAATAATTATGTTCAGGGTAGGATAAGACGAACTCTATGCATTGGTGTTGCTGTATGACCATCAATACTGTGTCTACTAGACCTTTGTTCTATATGCAAGTGCATGTGGAGTGGATTTCCATATACTCAAGACAACAGACATGGCACAAAGATGGGAGAACTTAATAGGGAATGCTCATGCCAGTGTATAGCAAATCATAGGATTTCAAAGGAGCAGGGCCCTGTAGAAAATGAATGCAAGCTTCAGCTGGAGCTATGCCCTGAAAGAAAGGGAGCAGCTGTTCACCACAGTGCAAGGCTTCAAAATAGAGTGTTAACCGTGAAAGTCATTCTTGTGGACAGCCTCCATGCACTTGCCCAAATGTCAGATTTTCCCTTTAGCTTTTTTATGTTTTGGTGGGTTTTTTTCTCAGTTTTTTCCTAATATTTCAAATTGCTAACACTTTCTAAAATTGTTTTTTATAACTGTACTTTTTTTCTTTTTTTTGCTATTTATGCTTTTGCTTTATTTTCAGTACTGGAAATATAAATTGTGTAAAGCCTTTTAATGATTTTTGATTCATTTTATGTATTTTTTTGCAGATGTAACTCTGGAAGTGCACTGTTACTGTGTTAGCATTGTGTAAGCAGTGTGTGTCTCATAAGAACATGCAAAACTTTCTCAGTAAATGTTTTTGTTTTGTTTTGGTACCAGGGATCGAACTTGGGCCCATGTGCTTGTGAGGCAGGTGGCAGAACCACTGAGCCAAATCCCCATCCTTTTCTTAGTAAATGTACCTCTGCATTTGTCGAGGATAAAATTTTTCAAGATTTCAGCTTTTGTATGACTGTATATATGGTGGTGCACATATGGCTTTTGACTGATATCTGAAAACAGCTTGTCCATCACAGTACTGTATTTCAGATGATTGAACTTATAAAACTGGGTGTGCACAGTTACCAGTCAGAGTGATATGCATTTATATGTTTCGCTTCTTGACAGATGGTCAGTTGTTTCTAAAGTTGGAACTCACTTTATTTTTTAATTGAGTTTATTGGTACATTTTATGTATACAGTACAGTTACATTCACTATTGGGATCTTGTACCTTTACATGACAGGTCTTGGTTCTCATTTTTTCCCCTTGTCCCTGCCCTCCTTTCACCTCCTCCTCCCTTCCCTATTTACAAATATTTTATTTCCATTTTTTCATTTTCTCATATTTTTTTCTTTTCCCTCATTTCCTTTCCCCTACCCTTCCCATTTTCCCTACACCTTTCTTCCTATTTAATATTGTCAATTATCTCATTAGGATCTTCTTCTTCTTCTTCTTCCTCTTCTTCTTCCTCTTCTTCTTCTTCTTCTTTTTCTTCTTCTTCTTTTTATTATTATTATTATTTTTTTTTATAGTTTTTCACACCAGAGAAACCCCAGCCATCCCTTTGCTGGGTATCTTTTCAAATTCCTCTTCTTCTTCCTCTTCTTCTTCTTTTTCTTCTTCTTCTTTTTATTATTATTATTATTTTTTTTTTTATAGTTTTTCACACCAGAGAAACCCCAGCCATCCCTTTGCTGGGTATCTTTTCAAAGAATTAAAAGAATAATATCACAGTGATATATGCACACCCATGTTTATAGCGGCACAGTTTGTAATAGCTAAAACTTGGAATCAGCCCATTTGCCCATCAGTTGGAAAATGGATAAAGAAGATGTGGTTTTTCTATAAAATGGAATAATACTCAGCCATAAAGAATGAGAAATTAGATTCATTCATAGGAAAATGGATACATTTTGAGGATATACTCCTAAGTGAAATAAGTGACATGTGTAAATACCAAATGGAACTCACTTTTTTGGGTGCATTTTAGAAACCATTTTTTTTTTTGGTACATTTTAGACATATATAATGCTAACACTTATCATAGGGAATTTGCACCTGTGCATGGTACATCCTGCTTTTAAAGGTGGGGTTTCTACTCAATGTTTCTCTTACTTCCCATTTTGCCTACTTCAGTAGGTAGGGGAAAACACCAAAAGATCTATTTCTCTTTGACTCAATAAAAGAAAAATAATCTTTACAAAATGTAATTATGAAATAAGTATAAATCTACAGCAATATACCATTTAGCCCATTCAATCTGTTCTTGAGAAATTTGTCCTAAAATACAGTACAGTCTAAAACAGGTCTGCAAATCACAACTAGCTGATCAAACTAGGCCTGCCATTTGTTTTTATAGTTTGGTTAACAAAAATTAAAATAACAATTTATAGGCTGGGTGTGGTGGCGCACGCCTGTAGTCCCAGCACCTGGGAGGCTGAGGCAGGAGGATCGTTGTGAGTTCGAAACCAGCCTGAGCTACATAGTGAGTTCCAGGTCAGTATCAACTACATAGTGAGACCCTGTCTCAAAAAAACCAAAAAATAAATAAAATAAAATAACAATTTATGACATATGAAAAGTACATAAACTTCAACAGCACCAATAAATAAAATTTTAATGGGACACAGCCACATTTGTGTGTATGGATATGTATGTTTATATTTTGCAGTACAGGATATTGAACCCAGAGCCTTTGCATATGCTACATACCAGCCCTTTTTTCCTTTTGAGTCAGGATCTTACTAAGTTAGTAAATTGCTCAGGGAGGGCTTGAACTTGGGATCCTCTTACCTTAGCCTCCTAGAGTGCTGGAATTATAGATGTCCACAACCAGGCTTGGCTCATCTTTATTTATTGTTTATGGCTGTTTTCAAGCTATCACAGTTGAGTTGATGGCTTGACAAAGACCACATGGCCTGTAGAGCCTAAAATATGTTCTATCTCTCCCTTATGAGATGAAGCTTACTGACTCAGATTTAAAATGGGAGAAAAGTACATGTGTAAAATGTTAAGGTGTTTAAAAAATTAATAGCGTGCGACTGGGGATTGCTCAGTGGTTCGGTGGCCTGCCTTGCACACACAATGACCCAAGTTCAATCCCCGGTACCAAAAAAAAAAAAAAAATTAATAGCATAAAAAGTCAAATATGTGTGTGGTTATTTAAATTATAACAGTAAATTTATGGTGTGATCTGACTATTAAAACTGTAATTCTGTGAACTGTACACCAATATAATTATCCTACTTGAGAGGTTGAGAATAATAAAAATCTTTTATAACTCATTTGGATAAACATAGTAAAGACTAAATCTAATTGGCAAAAGTAAACATAGCTATAGGGCTAGAATCAGCAATAATTTTCCCAACATTTCTGTAATACTATTTTATAATTTAGTGAAAAATAAAAATTTGCACTGGTTTTTTTATCCACTGTCATCAGGGAATTTGATACTCAGGAAATGTGATAGACTTCTGAATGATCGTTATACTATGTGTAACTGTGACATAAGGACTTGTATAATGGTTGGTTAGGAGTGTCTTGATTCTCCCGTTGTTTTATTTGTTTGTTTGTTTATTTGTTTGTTTTGAGACAGGGTCTCACTATGTAGTTGAGACTGACCTGGGACTCACTATGTAGCCCAGACTAGTCTCGAACTCACAGTGATCCTCCTGCCTCAGCCTCCCAAGTGCTGGGATTACAGGCATGCGCCATTACGCCCGGCCCTCCCCTGTTGTTTGATATTGAATACATGCTGAGAAATTGATAGATTTTTCTCATTTAACTTTACTTTGAAGAATTTAAGCATTGGGATAAACTAATCTCAAGTCTTTAAATTTTATTTGATTCTTTTAAAATTTTTATTTTGTTTTAGTTTTAGTTTCTGAGACATGGTTTTAGTGTGTGGTCCAGGCTGGTCTTGAACTCACTATGTAGCTCAGGCTGGCTTTAAACTCTCAGCAGTCCTCTTGCCTCAGCCTCCCAAGTGCTGGAATTATGGGTGTGTACTGCCACACCTGGCACTAAATTTTATTTTATTCTTGAATATATCTTTTGATAACATTTTCTTCCTATTTTTACCATTTTTTTATTTAACACTTCATTGAATTTACTGCTATTTAGCTGTTGAAATGGGACAGAGCATAGTAATGACTGCCATATATCTTTTGAGAAAGTGCTTTCCTAGAGGAGTACAGGTACCCACTGAGGTGACGGGATGTTCAGGAAGCTTGTTTCAGTCACTTCATGGACATATTCAGGAAGCCTAGAGGAAAACAAATATCAGAGAGAATAAGAAATGGCTATAAGATTTCTTTTATAGAAAAATTGTTAAAGTTTTCTTTTGAAGTTCATTTTCCTAGTGGCTGGGGATTTGGCTCAGTGGTTACGCCACCTGCCTCGCAAGCGCAAGTTCCCGAGTTTGATCCTTGATACCAAAAAAAAACAAAAGTTCATTTTCCTATTTTTTGTTATGATACATGATTCCTACTTTTGTTAGACATGATACTTTCAGGTAATACTCCCTAAAACCCCCAACAGCCAAAGTGTAAAGTTTAGAGGAAGAAGTCATTTGGGACATTAACTGGTGGCGTTTAATTTGACAAATTTAAAATGGCTTCACTTCTTAGTTGCCCTGAGGATAATTAACCTGTAGATACCTAGTCCCAACATAAGAATGGTCCAAAAGTGGTTTTTGCTTTACATCAGCACTCCTATATTAGGCCCATCATTTCTTTTCTTTTTAAAATCACAACAGCTGTAAGCAATTTGGCATAGTACTCTTGCTTAATTTCTTAAGAGGAAGTAGAAGCATGTTGCTTATCTTTTTCCAAATAGAACTGAAGTTGGAAGTTTATTTTAGTCTACAAGTTTTTACTTTTAAGAAAAATCCTGAGGTTACTCGAAGGAGTGCAGTAATTGACCATCATAGTGAATCAGTGCCCACTTGATACTCTTAGGTAGGTAGAATTCTTTGAGCATCTATAGCCTTTGTAGGCTTTCATGGGATAGTTTAAGACACTCCTCCTGCTAACTCTGCTTACTCTATCAAGGAAGCCAAGGAAGCAAGGGAGGAACAGCATTACCTAAAGTGTCAGTATTTTCATCTGTTCCCCAGCCCAAAAGAGGGGCAGATGAATCCTAGCAGCGGTTTGCATTAAAGGAAAGGAATTTCGAATGTAGGGGAACAGCAATCTTTTATAAAGAACAGTGATGGATAATAGGATATTGAGCAAAACATTGTTCTTATTACACTGTATAGTAACCTCATTTGACCTTTGCTCTGGAGGGAGATACTATCTCTGTCATTTAAGGCGTTTGCTATAGAAATATCCTTGAAAAAATAGACCAGAACAAAGACTCAGTGTTATAGCTCGCAAGATGAACAGAAACTTGAGAGACCATGGAGGATTATCTGTCACACTGTTTTACCTACGTAAGTGTTTATTACCCATCATCCCCAAAGAACATTAAACTTCGTGAGGGTAGAGATTGTGTCTGTTTTCTATCTTTAGTGCTTAAACAGTGCCTGGCTTACAGTAGATGCTTCATAAGTATTTGTGGAATGAATGGGTGCATGTGAATTGTTTGATTCTCTAATGATATATTTTAGAATGATGAAAAAAGAAAGATATGTTTATAGTTCTATTAGCACAGCTTGCTGGTGTTTTGATATTACTTTTAATTTGGTTCTGAAAGTAAATTTTTATTTTAACAGGGATCTTTATTACTAAGTCTGATAAATATAAACATTTAAAGAAAAGCCATGGAAATGGAAACTTTTACTGAAACATGCTGTGTATTTCGATATGGTTAGAACCTTTGAAGCCAAGAACTGTGTGTAGTTACAAATCAGTAATAGCAGTGAATACCACACCATATTAAGTTATGCTGTACCACGTGGTTTTAATTAAAATTTCAGCTGAAATTTTTTTCTGGGAGTCTAAGCAGTTAAATTCAATTTGGTTAAGGGGCTGGAGATTTAGCTCAGTGGTGCTGTCGCCTGCCTCACAAGCACAAGGTCCTCAGTTCCATCCCTGGTACTAAGGAAAAAAAAAAAGTACACTAGATTCAATTTGGTTAAGTCCAATGTTTGATTTATTCTAAAAATTTTCCATTTGTCCCTTAGGTTTACATAAGTGTTTTCTTTACGTTAAGAATGGGAATATTCATCTCCAGGTTGTTTTTAGTCATATTGCAGTATTGGGCAGTATTATAGACTGAGAAAAATAGAGTTGGGAGATTAGCCCTTACACCAGTATGCTATATAACCCTGGGCAAGTTCCTGAATATCTGTACACATTTGCCATTGTATTCTGAGAAACTCAGCATAAATACTTTTTAATGTTTCAGTTCCAGATCTCTCTGGTTTGGGGACAGCCACACCACTATCTTTTATTGTTACTTTGTTTTTAGGTGATGTGCTTGTTGCTGTAAATGATGTTGATGTGACCTCTGAAAACATAGAAAGAGTTTTGTCTTGCATTCCTGGACCTATGCAGGTATGGATAGACTTCTTTCGTATTCTGTAATAAGTTACATAAAATAAGTATATCTTGTACTATTTCCTTATAAGATTCTATAAACTGTTGTGTATAACGGGTGCATTACATTTATACTGGGATATTTAAAAATTTTTAGCTCTTCCTAATGTTTTTAGCTTTGGAACATTGTTCTAAAATGAGAGACAAATGTCTACAAATAAAACTCATTGTAAATAAAGCAGCAATAACAATAATGCAAACATATAATTACCAACTTGTGATTATAGATATCATATGTGCTAAAGACAGTCTTGTTCCTAGAAGAATCATTTAAATACTCATGGAATTTATTCTCTGGCTTACTGTAATCACTCTTGCTGTGCTTTTTTTTTTTTAAGTGTAGTTTTGTTTATTGTGACAGTTAAGCTTGTTAATTTATTGGCTTGGGTACTGCCTGGGGGATTAGTAAAACACATTTATGGGATGTTTGAGTGGGTTGTGGAGGTGTGATCTTGGAGTCTGTATCTGGTCCTTGGCCCCTTCCTCTCTATTGCTGTTCTCCTGCTTTATTTCCTGACTACCATGAACAAAGCACCTTTGCTCCACCATGATCTTCTGCCATGATGTTTCTTCTTGGAGCTGGCCAACCGTGGACTGAAACTTCTGAAACTGTGAGCAAAAGTGAAGTCTTTCTCCTTTAAACTGTATGAGGTATTTGGTCCCATCACTGAAAAACTGACTAATATATGAATTCTACCATTTCTTGCATTTTTTGTGATCTTGGTACATCTCCTGAACTTTTGTTTAGCTGCTTAATGAATTACTTTTCATTCCTTGTACCTAAAAATTAATTTCTTTTATAAATCACTGATACTTTAAATATTGACATTTTGTATGACACATAACATTTTAGGCTATTAAATTTATTTTGAAAGTACTATACCTGTTTTTAAGGATTCTTGTTCTTTTAGATATTAGAAATTAGCTATCTCTTTTACTTGGGAGGTAGGGAAGAGGATATGCTTTAAAGGGGTTAGAGGATCCATCGGGCAGTAAGAGGATGATGTAATTTTGGGATTGGTCAGGATGAAGAACAAAACCCCTGACATCTGTGTCACCTGTATCTGATTTAGATTCTGAAATAAATTCCTTGTTTCATAAGAATTAAGATTACCTTTATGCTCACTTCTCTGGTACCAAAAAAAAAGAGAGAGAAAGAAGACAGACACAGACAGACTGACTCTGACTTTATAAATTTAGCTATCTTTAGAAATGTAGAATGAAAGTGCTGGAATATTTATGGCAGCCAGTGACTGACAATGCCTGGGAATAGACAGGGGCATGTGGGTGGAGACAGGGTTGTATGTGAGGTATTAATAATCAAGTGGACATCAGCTACCCATATTTCCAGAGTAGGGTATGCTATTATCCCCTTTAATCACTAGGGATCCTACTGTGCATTAAAAATGCCAGGGTACCTCAGCAGGCGTGGTCAGCAGCTACTTACCAACCAGTAATGAAGAGTTGCTGTGTTTTAACAACTGAACCAGCTTCCCTCAAGTGGCTGCCTATCAGCTCTGAGCGAGGGCTCCCTATTTCTTGCCCATGTTAGTTGCAGGTACATTGCCGATATTGTGGGATCTTAACCACATTTATGTTTACCACATAGTTACATTATGCTTATATTTAATTAAAAGTTGCAAATTAAATCATGCATGCTTGACAGAAAAAAAGAGAAGGAAACAATTTGAGTTATTTTGCATCAGTTCTATCTACAATTAACACATGCTCATTGAGAATGCAATAGGAGTCATTATCTGTATTTGTCCAGTTCATTTCTTATGGCATGAGCATTTTGCGGCGTTATGTGTCATTCTAACTATAACAACGTATATTTTTATATAACATAGCTCTTAATTGCCAGTCCTTATAAGTGATGTCAAACATGAAAAAAAAAGTTTGTTTTGAAATGGGAAAAAATTGACTGGGTTAAATTTATCATATGAAGAGACTGTGTTACCCTGCAACATGGCATTGCTTTTCTAATCTGCTTTTAAAGGAATTTTACCACTATTGTATAATATAATCTCATCATAAGTATTATTTAAATATTTTTATTATTTTCTTCTGAAAGTAGTTCAAGTGCATTATAGAAATTTTGGGGAATACAAAAAGTAAGAGACAAAGTCTCTTAGACCCCTACTATATATATATACATATATATATATATATATATATATATACACACACATATATATACACACACATATCTAGTATTATTAATATTTTTAGAGTATTGCAATCTAGTATTCTTCTGAGGGAAAACATGTATGAATTTGCTTTACTAGCAGGATTGGTGTTGTAGCTACGTCTTTTCTCAAAAAGCATGCACTTGGATTTAGAACAATGTATCTTGATTAATTTTATGAGAGTTTAAATTATTTAACTAGAAACCATATTTAATTAGTAAAACATATTTTTCTTACTGTGTTGAAATGGGAAGTAAATTGTAAGCTTTTCCCTACCAGCAGTTTCTCTGAAGTTTAAACTAGGAGTTCATGAAGACAAAAATAGGATTAGGAGAGAAATTAGGGTTCTTGTGTATCAAGCAGTATTTTTTGTTTTCTTTGTTTATATCATTTCCTTTCAGCTCTCTGTTGCTGTGCCAAAAATACCTGAGAAAATCATTTTATAAGGAAGAAAGATTCATTTTGACTCATGATTATCAGAGCTTTTAGTCCATGGTCAGTTGTGTTGAGAGGCAGAACATCATGGTAGGAATTGTGTGGTGGAATAAAGTTGCTTGTTTCATGGTGGCCTTAAAGCAAATAGTGACATAGGAAAGCACTGGGATCCTAAAATCCCTTTCAAGGTCTTACCTCCAGTGACCTCCATCTTCCAACTATTCCCCATCTCCTAAAGTTTCTACCACCTTCAGTAATACCATGTGCTGATGACAAAGCCTTTGCCATATGAGCTTTTGGGGGAAATTTAAGATTCACCACAACATTTAGTTACCCAAAGGCTTATATGTATCACACAGCACAAAATGTATTTAGTCTTTTTTTTTTTTTTTTTTTTTTTTTATCACACACAAAAATTGTTTTTTTTTTTTTTTTTTTTTTTTTTTTTTGAGACAGGGTCTCACTATATGGTTGAGACTGACCTGGAACTCACTATGTAGTCCAAGCTGGTCTCGAAATCACAGTGATCCTCCTGCCTCAGCCTCTTGAGTGCTGGGATTACAGGTGTCCACCACCACGCCCAGCCAAATGTATTTAGTCTTATCTCCAAGAGTTCTAAAAGTATTAACAGTTCCAGCATTGCTCAAAAGTCAGAGTCCACAGTCTCCTCTGAGACTCAAGACAAACTCAAGACTCAGTTATTAGCACTCATAAAAAAAAAAAATCAAAAGAACAAGTTATATACTTTGAAGATACAGTTTCACAAGATAAACATTCCCATCCCAAAAAGGAAAAATAGCAAGGGATCAGACCAAAGCGAGACTGAAATCCAGCAAACATTAAGTCCTGTAGCTCCATGTAGGGCATCTAGCATGCAATGGTGTGAACCTCTGCTTGGACAGCTCCATCTCGCATGGCCACTCTCAGTCTGGTGCTCCCCACTCCCTGCAGCTTTCCTTAGCAAATGTTCCATGCTCTTGGCATCTCTGATTTTCTGGGGTCTCCATTGCAGCTTCAGCTAACTTTCAGAGCTTTGCTATACTGCCCTGTGATGGGCTGCTTGCAGAGACCTCAGCCTTCCACACACTGCCCTATGGGAAATCTACCTGGGCTTATTCCAACCACAGCTGTAGTGGTCTCTGAGTCCCTTGCTGGCTGAACATGGGACATACACACACACCCTTATATCAGAATTCCCTAGACAGCCTTATACAGGCAGAGTGCTCCATGGCCCTCTTCTCAAAGGAAAGTTTTGGAAAGGAGTACAGTTTTACAACCCATGAGGTTTTCTGGGAGTGGGGTGACTGGCCAATTCCGGAGATGACTTCAAGGTATCTTTCATTTTGTCCTTATGCAAAACTTGGCTCTTTTTTTTTTTGGTACCAGGGATTGAACTCAGGACCTTATGCTTACAAGGCAGGTGGCAGAACCACTGAGCTAAATCCCCAGCCCTTGGCTTCTTTTTAAATGTCATTAATCTCCATACCCTCCTTAAGCACAACTTTTGTTTTGCTTTGTTTTTTGAAATGGTCTTGCTTTGTACTTTAGGTTTACCTTTCAGAGATCCCCCTGCCTAAGCCTCCCAAGTGCTAGGATTACAGGTGTGTGCCCCCCCCCCACCATCCAGCTTTTTGGGGCACAGCTTTGAAAGCACTCATTCTCTGGTCAAATGCCAAGTTTTTCAAATCTTTTTTCTCTGTGTTTTGCTCCTGATTCTCATTGTAAATCTGGCTGAAAGCAGCCAGTTATACTCATGTCACAGCCTGAATGTGGTGCTGCCATGATACTTCCAGTACCAGATTAATTAGTCCTTCACTTTTATTCTTTTTTTTTTTTTTTTTTTTTTTTTTTTTTTTTTTTTTTTTAACTGGGGATCGAACTTGGGCCCTTGCCCTTGCAAGGTAGGTGCCAGAACCACTGGGCTAAGTCCCTGGCCCTAGTCCTTCACTTTTAAACTCACCCTCCCACAAAATTTCAAGACAGACAAAATGCATTCAGATTCTTTGCTTCAGGTGTAAAGAGTGTGGCCATTAGTACAGTTCCTAATAGAGTCCTTATTTCCATCTGAAACCTAATGAGTCTGGCCTTCTTTGTCCACATTTTTATCAGCATTCTTCTGAGTCCTTCCCAGAATTGCCCATTAAGCTATACTTACAGACTCTAGATTGTCTCTAGCCTACTTCTCTAAACTTTTCTAAACTCTGACAAAATGATTCCCAAGAGCTGCTGAACTATATCATCAGGTATAGTTATAGCAGTAACCCTACTGCTTTATACCAATTTGCTGACATTTAGGATCCAAACCTTAACAAACCTGTAAGACATCAATTATTA